CTGTAAACAGCTGGGAAATGCTTGATTTTGATGATTTTTAGCACAAAAATGGCCGTCATTCGGCCATCTTGAATCAGATCGTGAAACAAATTGACGTGCATATGTATAATATCATGTATGATGTATGTGTGAAGTTTGATTGTGATTGGTCCAGGCATTTCTAAGATACAGGTCCGGACGCACGCACGCACACATGCACGCACACACTGTGGTCAAAACATAAGTCCCCGTTTTCGGACTGCGTTCGAACGGGGACTAATAATCTTCCTATACACTTCAGTCGCAGGTAATAATTGTCATAATAATCTTTTACCTGGTTGCTGTGCCTGTACAGTTATAATAAGTGCAATTTGAGCTCGTAGTTTTGCCAACTCCTCCTCCAAAACGTTGATCTTCTGTAGTGCACCTGGATCAGAACTGACGGAAGATACATTGACGCTTGTAGAAGAAGACAAATTAATAGCAGATTCGTCCAAAGCCGGACTGCTGTTTATTGAACAATTAGTGACCACATGCATGTCGTGTTCGGGTATTGGCGTGCTTGCTAATGCTGGGAGGATGATATTACTGGGTCTGGGTCTGCGTTTCCGTTTGCTTCGCTTTGACTTGATCGGTCGGATTTCAGATCTGTCAGAGAAATGGAAGCAAATGGTTATCATTAATGAAACAATATTCAATACCCTTTGATGAGTTGGGTGTAACATGTCAAGATAAGCAATTCAACCTCTAAATATAAATATCAAATTTACCAGGGTTCTCCCCAGAAAAAATGCATAGCGCCGGGGCTAATTTGCATAATGATTTGCATATCATTTACATATCTTTCCTTCATTGATTAACAGAACTTATTTACAATTATGAATATTAGTGAGCTCAGTCACAGGGCAAATATTTTTTTTAATGGAATCAACACATTATGTTTCACAATTTAGAAGAGTTTGAAACATTCTCGGAAATACAAATGCTGCAGACTAAAAACAAACACAAATACATTATTGTTGCAATTTAATTGTTTTGTAAAACGTTGAAGGAAACGCATTCAAAGCGTTAAGCCAGATTTATGTTCACGAATCTCTTAATTTTATTCACTCCAAAAACATTCTCCTTCAAAAAATCGATCA